GTCGGCGTCCAGCCGGGAGTCCGTCGCCCGAGGTCGCCGCGCACAGCAGAGGAACCGCAGCGCCGCCGCGCTCTGCGCGACCTCCGTCCGCCAGCTGCCGGGGAGAGGCGCACCGCAGGCCGGAGCGAGAGGCCCCGGGACCGCGCGCCCGCGGCAAGAGCGAAGGTGTCAGCCCGGGCTGATCGCGGCTGCGGCGGAGCCGCCGTGCGCTCCACGTCGGCGGTGCCACCAGCGAGCGCCGCGGGCTGGGCCCGGATCCGCCGCCGCCGGCTGAGTCCTTCTCTTTCGCAGGGCTCGCTGCCGCGCGTTCCTGATCTCTGCGAGCCGGCGGCCGGCCGTGCGCGGCGCTTCGCTACGGTCGGCCGTTTTGTGACCGTCCTGCAGCAGGGGATACGGGAACAGGAGCAGCCGGGAGGCCGCCGGTCGCTCTCCGAGCAGCATACTCACGTGGAGGCGCATCCGCGGCAGCTGCCGGAGGGTCGCGAGGTCCGAGGCGCGGAGCGGGGCGTACGGAGGTGGTGCGGGGCGGGGCGAGGCCGGAGCGGCGGGGCCGTGGGGCCTGGAGCCGCGTCCCGCTCAGTAGTGCTGCACGCGGCCGCTCCGGCGCCGGCGGCGCTCAGGACGGTGGGACCGGCGGGCAGCGCGTGGGGCTGGGCGGCAGGCGGGCTGCCGCGCTCTGCTCCGTCCTGAAGCTGTAGTCGTACTGCGGGAAACGAGACAGAGGCGCCGTGGGACACCCGGCCGCGGGCTCCCCGGCGCGGCCCCGGCGGGAGCGACCCGAGTGGGAGAATCGCCCCTCTCCAGCAGTCCCAGGTTAACCCGGCGTGCCCACCGCGCTGCCCTCCAAGCGGGCAGCCGGGCAGCAAGACTCCCCGCCGTACGCCTCGGTTACGCAAGCTCTGCCGCCGTAACGACAACCGTAACTGTAATCTGGGCGGAAGTCCCTAAGCCTGCAGGTTTCGGCTAACCCGGACCGCTCACCCCGGGCGGCACCGCCGACCTCCGAGGCGCGGGGCCGCCGCCGCCGCAGCGCCACCTGGCGGCAGTCAGCCCGGGAGCGGCGCCACCGCCCGCCCCGCCCCGCTCCGCTCCGCCCCGCTCCGCCGCACGGCGGCACCGCGGCACAGCGCCGGGCGGGGCCGAGGAGAGCCGCACCGGGACCCCGAGCGCCCGGCCTCGTCTGCGGGCGGAGCGGGAGCCGAGCGGCGCGGTGCAGGGAGGCGGTGCGGCACTAGGGGGTGCTCGGCGACCGCTCCCGGGCTGCGCCGCAGTCGCCTCCCGCCTTCCTCCGCGTCACGGCGTACGCGCGGCGCGACGGGAATCGGCGCTGCCACGGCAACCGCGGCACCGCGCGGGGCTTCCATTTTGTCCGCGCGGCACCCAGCGCTGCCAGCTGCGGGGCGGCGTGTCAGCGAGCCGTGCTTCCAGACCGCCTTTTAATTGGCAGGCATGTCTTCATTAATTGCACCTCAATGTCACGATGTCACAGCCAGCAGCACCACCCCGAGCTACAGAAGCAATAAGCCTCATTTTTCAACACACAAACACATAAAGATGTCAGCTCAAACTGTTTACTAATTAACACTTAAAAAGACACAAATTAGATATGCGTGGCTAAGAGCAATTATAATCAAGACGAATTTCTCTAGTCATTTGGGAACTGAAAAAAATGCCTAATTGCTGGAACCGATGTTTTAAAAACTGAAATCATGCCAGTTAGCAAATATGTTCATTTAAAGAACATTTCATGTGACTGCACTCCGGAGAATTGACTACAAACATGAGAACAAGGAAAAATATTTCAGTATAAAATTAAAATTTTAAGCTCCCTTAGATTTACAACTTCTTCATTAAATATATTTGCAAAAAGCAGCCTAAGAGAACTCGTAGCGATTAAGTGGTTAAACGGACAGCCTTCCTTGTCAGTTTAAAAAGAATGATTAATATTAGATGCACACTTCACTAATTAGACTCCAGACTTTCAGCTCAACGCTGAGCTAACGAGGACGCCTCACTCAGAGCGCAGAGGCCTCAGCAGCCGAGCAGCTCAGGCCCACACAGCCCAACCTGCTGGAGCTGCACACACAGCACAGCCCTGCTGCTGCACCACGTGCAGCCCGCCTGGCCGCCCTGACACTCACACCGGGAAGCTTCCCTGCCCGGAGCATGAGGACCAGCCAGCACAACTCGCTGCAGTTCTGCATGGAGACGGCAGCAATGCTGCGGGGGCCTCTGCTCCTCACTGCCATGCATGCACTGAACTGGCTGCGGGCAAGCTGTGCCCTCATCGTAAAACCAAGCATCTTCACCCTCTGCTCTTGCTGGGTTTCACCATTTGCTCACACGCTCCCCAGCACACAGCCGTGCAGTTCCTGGGCCTGGTGCAGCGAGAGCCTGGCTCCAGACACAGCCTGAGTGTGCAGAACAGAACGGGCACCTCTTTTCCTGATTCTCCTGAAAGGGTGGGGTCCTTTCATTTGGCTCACTGTGCAGCTTGGAGGATGGGTGCATACATCTATAAATGTGGCGACAGAGAACAATAACTCTTGGAATTCTCTGGGAATACTTTTTGCAAGGCATCTAGCTCCAGGGAAAACATTCTTGCTGCTTTGGAAATCCAGAAGATTTGCTGTAATGGTGCTATTGCTTGCAAGGGAAATAAAGTCATGCAGAAATTCGCAATATTTATATTTGCAGCTATCTATGTGCAGACAAGATACTTCATCAAGGAATATGGGCTGCATAATTAGACTTTTCATTACTCTGAAAAATACATAGCCTGCAATGGATCAGGGGGATGTGAGGAAAGCCAGCAGGTGCCAGCCCCAGTGCTCACGGCCTCCCAGCACAGCCTTTAACCCTGACGGTGTGCACGACAGAGGTGTTTGTAAGCAAGGATGCACAAAGGCAATGCATTCTGATAATAAGAAAGAAAGGTTAAATAAGAGAGACATCTGGAACTAAATGAAGGGCAGCAGACTTTGCCACTAGATTCAATACCTAAAGATTCAGTAGGCACAAATCACAGACGTTTCTAATTCCATATTAACTATTTGACTCAACACTGACTTCACCCACAAACAGTGGCTTGGGAAAGATGAGAGCTTTGCCACAGGGCAGAGGATCTTGCAACCAAATAAGCACAGATCTCATACAGCTTTTGCTCAGTGCATGGCTGGGTACCTACCTCCTTTTCAATTTCTGCAAGGGTTTTGATTGTGATGCCCAAGAGATCAACTGGCTGCATCTGTGGGGAAAAAAAAGAAACAAATATCCAATTTAGTTTGTTGTTTTTTCTATTGTTTTGTTTTCATTTTGTTTAAAGTCAGCAAAGATTCTATCACCAGAGATTTAGAGGCACCATCTGTAAACGCATGCATAATCCTATTTCTTGGTGCAGCACAAGAGTGAAGAAGCAGAAGCTGGTTTAGGGATAACAGCTCTAATGCCTTTCTCCCTAAGTGGGGACAGCTGACACTCATCACTGCGTCACTTCAGACAGGCCAATCTTCAGCCACCTCGCTGCCCTCAGCACATACCCTGCACTGCCCACAGACTTTGTTTGGCCGCAGCACGCAGGTGCGAGTGGCACGGGCGGGGAAAGCCGCGACCAAAGTGACCGTATGGTGGCAATGGTGTCTAAAGGATCTGAAGGGAGGATTAGCCCAGCCTAATCTTTCTGCACTTGTCCTTGCAACAGGGGACCCAGCTTTCTGGGAATAACGGCCCATAAACAACCCTTGCAGAGAGCAGTGGATGTGAAAAACTGCATCCGGCTGCACACACAGGTTGTGTCAGTGAGAAGAAGGACGTACGAAGCAGGAGCATGGTGGGAAAAATCAGACACAGCTGACAGCACTGCATTTGCTGTAACAGCTTCTCATAAATTGACTTTAAAAGAGATACTGTTTCAGTGATTAGATGGATTAAAGAACTGGTAATGGGATGCATTAGGCTCTCAGGGCTTCTGAGTTCCAGCCCACCAACTCCGGTCAGTGCTGTGGGACTGCCTTGACCTGCAGGACACAGTGCTGAGCAGCTCCCACAGGGCCCAGATGTGCTGTGTGTGGGGATGCCCTGGCTGTGCCGCCGTGCTGTGTGTGGGGACCTCTCTGCTCTGCCGCTGCACCAGAGATGCTCTGACTTAAATAATCTCTCGAGCTAGAGGGCAACAGGAACACTAGAATCATTTTTCTATCGCTGTTCCTGCTCCTGGCGCCCCGCAGAGGTCCAGCTGTGGTGTCATTAGGACTCAAGCACCTCTCTAAACTTTCCAGGCTGGAATTGGTAAACACGATGGCACATTTTCACGTCGGAATTGGATTTCCTCCAATGTAGCCATGGCAACCCTGCTATCTCGGGTCAGCCGCAGCTCCTCAGCTCCACGTGCAGCCACCAGTGCTCACAGTGATTCAACAGCTCTGGAAGGCCCGGGCGATGCCAACAGCACTTGGTTTTAGGGCAGAAGAAGCGGTGGTGCTCCTGGCATCACGCCGCAGGTGAGGCAGTGGGAGGAAAGAGCCCAGCCACGGGCACAGCGCCTGACCTGGCATCGCACTGCTACCGCTGACCTGAGCTTCAGGGTGCACAGTGGAACCTGTGAGGCTGACTTCTGCGATGCTGCATCAGTGGCAATATAAATGTGGTAGACGTGAATATTTGCAGCTTTCTTTAAAATCTCTAGTAAAAAATAAAAGGTGTTTCCAGTGCCCAAAGCCACGCTGCCACTCCCATTTTAATGGTGTTAAACCTTCCTCTCCTGGGAGAAGTCAGCTCCTGTGCAGACCTGGCCCCAGGCTGCTCCTGCCCTACAGCTCAGCAAGATATGGGTTCCCAGAGATCAGCTCCCAGAAGCAGGCAGTTTGTGTCGATGCCTTGTGAACACTCCCCACGAACAGACAAACTATGGACATGGGAATAAGAATGAAGACAACTCACCCCTTCAGGAGCACAGGCAAACTTCTCTGAGATCATGAAAGGCACTCCATCCATTGCTGTAAGGGACAAAACAAGCAGAGATGTTACTTTTCCAGCTCACTTCTGGTGTGCGACTTCACACTCACAAAAACATACCAAGTGTACATGGCAATGACACCTGACTGATGCTGCATGGAAGTTACTGCCAATCATTTCTCCCTCCAATCTCCCAGCGGTTTCTCTCCATTCAAGACACAGCTGGGTTAGTCCGTACAAAGTCAGGAGCTCGATGAACCCTCCCTGCTCTACCCACACGTAATTTCATGGTCTCACTTTTAAGTTTGGTTCCAACTTGGGCCAGATGCCAAAACAGGATGGTGTTTGCAACGCAGAACAAACACTCTAAAAGGACAGATTTTTTTTTACCACTACCACAGCGATCCATCTGAGCTAACTTGATGTCCTAGCAAGAGGAAAAGGAAAATACCTCGTTCAGGTAACTTTCACCTTTCAAATGCAAAGCTGTAAATACTGCTACCTGGGCAGAACTACTGCCAGCCCCTTCCCTTGCCCAGCTGTCATCGCTCGAGATTCAGCAGCAAGAAACAGAGCTGAAACAAAACGCAAATGGCTTCTGGGGGACAGAAATCAGTGAAGTAGAGGACAGGCACGCGGACACGTCACTGTGCCAGGCACCCTCTGCAGCACCACCTTAATGATATTAAGAGGATTTCTTCTATTTTAGTGTCTTGTATGTTCTTCTCTGATAACGCAATGACGCTCAGTGTTCCTGTCTTGTTATCGCCACCTTGGAAACTTCACAGAAATCCTCCCACAAGATGTGTCAGTACAAGTGAGCCACTTACTTCTGAAGCATGCATCTCAGCAATTTCCACACAAGACTGAAAAGGGCACATTTCTAAGGCAGAGTGCAGCCCCAGGCACACACGCTTTGTGTCAGTTACACCTTTAAGTTTCAGCTCTTAAGGAAATAAAAACTTCAGCCAGACCAAGTTTAACCCCTGAAACGCCCTCCAGTAATCCTCAAATAGGGTTTTCTTTCACAAAGCATCTGCACCCCTGAAGCCCGCATCTCCCCACTTGCTGTTTCCTAACTGCCATCAGCACCAGCGAGTTATTACGTTAGTGATTTAATGAGTCATTTAAGAATACTTAGCATCTCACACTCTGTCTATTTTTGACTTAAAGAACCAAACCAAATGAAAACAAAAAAAACCCACTCCACTGAGATCATTTCATTATCAAAGGTGTTATGTGGCAGCCACAGTGTTTCATGAAACAAAAGGAAACAGATGAAAAGCAGCGTCACAAAACCCTGGAAAGTTCTGAACCTGAAAGACCATCTGCATCCATTCCCCCAACAGAAGCTGCTTTGATCGCTCACGCCGGCGTTTGTGCGGCGATCTGCAGGATGAGCCGCGCTGCCCTGCGCCCGCCCTGCCAGGAGCAGCTGAATGCAAGGCGTGCCAAGGGCCCAGCAGCACAATTAGCACTCTCCCAAACAAACGAGCTTCAACAGAGCTGTAATTAAGCAGGCCTGTAATTAAGTATATGCCCTTTATCCTAACGATCATGCTTAAAAATGGCATGATGCATGGAAGCGTGTTATTAATGCCGCAGTCCCAAAGCGCAGGGAGTTGCACAGGAGCAGGCATGGCAGACCCATCACACTACAAGGAAAAAGCAGAAGGCAAGCAGCTCGCCCAGCAGCTCTGCGCAGCCAGGCAGGACTCACGGCACCTACACATGCCGTGCTGCAGCGGGCAGTGATGGCTGGTGCTGCAGAGTGCCCACAGCTGGGCAGCGCCCGGCCATGCACTGCTATGCTGGGGCAGGCAGCCGAGAACCGCGGCACCGCGCCTGGATGCTTCTCCCCTCCATGGAATTACATCTGCAACAGATCAGGGAGCTGCCTGCACCACTCTCAAAACCAGAAAAAAACAGACAGGGATCTCAGAAAGAAGAATGTCAGCGCCGTTTACTGTCTCTGAGGAACAGCTACTCCCTGAAGGTCACAACCAATTAGCTCGTCTGCTGGAATCAGAAGAGTGCCCAAAGGGCCCACGGCCAGAAGTGCTGAGCCCGAACTCCAGAGAAGTCCACCAGCCCACCGCGGGGCCACGCACCCACAGCCCCTCCTGGCTGCAGACACGAGCTGTTAGCTGACTTAGAAACTCTCCCTATACCACGAGGAGCACCGTCACCCACTCCGAGCACACGATAGATGCTGCCTTCTGTGCTGCAGACTCCAACTAAATCGCAGTTGTCAAATTAGTAATTCATCTTTCTAGAATAACTATATTTTTAGCAAAGCTACCAGATTTAAATAATCAGACCTGCCAATGCTACCCTCATTTAAACATGCTGACGAACTTTCACAGACAGCATCAGTTAACATAATGAGTTTCTGGATGACAAAGAACTTCAGACTGTAGTTCTCTACACTACCCGGCGTAATAAGCACTTGTTCTTTTCTACAATGCGCACATAAAAGAGGAATCTAAATAATAATTGCTATAATTATCTTGAAAAATATGTGGTGATTAATGGTGATTATGAAAATCTGTATCATTGTTCACTGAAATCTCCAATGATCAGATGGCTTCTTGAAGCAGCCGCTGCCGAAGGCCGTGGAGCACAACGAGCGGCGGAGCTCCGTCCACCCGCAGCCGTCCCAGCGCCCAACGCCCCGTGCAAGGCACCAAGTCCAACCTGTTATTTATGCAAATAATTAATTACTCTTGAATCCAACTAGCAGTTTGTCATGACACATTAATGACTTGATAGACTTCTATGAACTAGTGAACACAGGACAGCGGAGCGCTTTTATCGTCATTTAATTTAAAAACGATCCTGTGTGAAATTATCTAGTCGTGAGTGATGGAAGCATAAAGAACAGACTCAGCAAAGCTTCTTTTGGATCATTGCTTTATTAATGGTAACGTCAGGGAAATGAAAAATGCTAACATTGTCATATTTAGCTCCTGGGTGCAGACAAATAGCTGCCGTGCTGCTGGGTGTGCACACTGCGGCAGCGCCGGTTCCTCACAGCCCAGCCATGGGGACACGGCACAGCCTCCGACCCCTCCTCGCATCCTCTCCATGCTCTTCACTGCTGTTTCTGCATGGTCTTTTACACTTGAATTTTCACTTGCTGATCTTAAAAATATTAAAATAACTGAATAACAATACTTTCCTGCATTGCACTGAAAATTAAACATTAATAACCGTTCCCACAACCCACAGGAAAACACACGGCCCTGAATGCACTGCCACTACAGCACAGCTCGGAGCCTGCACCCATGTGCAGAACTGTGCAGGATGCTGAAAGCTGAGGAACGCTGTGGTCTCAGCCCCAAGGAAAGTTGTTCACAAGTGCGGAGAAAAGCAGCCTGCAAGGCGACAGAAGGAGGGCGCGAGCCTTCCAGAACGAGCTGCTCCCTCCACGATGTACAGCTAAGCCTCCTACTTCTGCTCTTCTGTACGCAGCCAAGTAAAGAGCAGCCTGAACAGTACAGCATGCGCGCCACGCGCCAGATGGAGCAGCGCCGCTACTCATCTCCAGAGCACTGTGACAGCCAAACCTCAGGGGAGAAACAACAGCACCGAGCAGCTCACCACCCTCCTCCAGGAGCGTCTCCAGCTTGGTTTGTGGCCCAGGGGAATGGCTCCAGCACGAGGCACCTCAGGCCACAGTGCAGCCTGGAGCTGCCCGGAGCTCCCGAGGAGGGTCAGGCTCACCACGGAGAGGAGTCCTGGCAATGGAAACAGCCCCGGCTTTTCTGTTCATCCTGAATGACATTGATTCAAAAACAGACCTGGAATAAATTTACATTTTTGCTAATTTGATTGTCAGCCTTGATTTTCTCTATTTCCTGCATAACTCACGACACAACACAATTAGTTCTGTACTGCTAGATCAAGCCCTGAAAACACTTGAGCAATACTCCTGGCTTTGATTATTTTCTCTCTTTAAATAACACGAAGGTTAAGCACTGCACAGTAATAGCGAATGGTACCTGGGTGCTGCGGCTGCCCCACACCGCCAGCATGGAGCAACTTCAAACAAGCTCTTCGGATCGCGAGTGTTTGGGAGCTCTTGATTTTATTATTTTTTAATAAAATGTCTCCTTTGAAGTCTCTGCAACATACTGAACTTCAAAGCTTACACCTAAGCATGTGCTGCTCCCAAGCAACAGCCCTTAATTAATTAGAGCAGAGCTGATACAGCGTGGGGCGCTCACACAGCTCTGAGCAGCACAGCGGGGCCGTGCTCTGAAGAAAACACAGACACTGCTCCATCACCTCCAGCTCTCACTGAAGGCAGCAGAGCCTGTGGGGCCGCAGCAGGCTGACAGCCGTGCCAGCGTGCACAACTCAGGTTGGGGTCAACAGTTGCAAAAAGCATCAGAGGAGGCACCCACAATGGCTGCAGTGTTCCCTGGCTGTGGCTGTAAATTTCCCCCCTTGATGAGAGAAACATCCTGCCTGGGGCAGACTGCTTCCTCCAGCACTCATGTTCTTGGCACCTCAGCCATTTGCAGTACTGCAGGTTGGGGCCAGGGCACAGTAAAGGAACACAATACCTTTTGTTAGGGGCTCTGGCCCTGCAAGCTTTGATTCCCCTTAGCTGACATATGTATGGCTTTTTGTAAAAACAGAGGGGAGGGGCTGCTACTGCAGGAGGCACCAGTCCTGCACCCAGCACTGCGTGCAGCAGGGCGCTGCAGGGAGGCGCAGAGCGGTGCTGCACGAGGCGGTGCCCAGCTGTCGGCAGCTGCAGTGCGGCTGAGCTGGGGCTGGGGGCACAGTGGTGCCATGCAGCTGGCCGGGACCTCACCTCCTGATGTAATTCAGTTTTTGAGTGCTTGGAGCCATTAGCCGAGCCACATATTTCTATCGGGTAAATTTCATTTGCATATGCAAATTATATCTAAATACACTGCACCATTAATATGATCACTAATTACATAATAATAGTCACCAATCTCCACACAGATCAAACTTACAGTTTTGTAGCTATTAAGGAAATTGTGCTTTGTAATTAAGATAATCCTCATTTCCAGATGCTAATTAACTATATAATAATTAGCTTCTTTTGCTAATGCAAATTAAGTATTTTCATCCTTACTGGTAAAAGAGTTGCTTATCACTTAAAAAAGACACAACCTAGAAATAATCCCTCCTCCCCTTTAAAGGTGAAAAGGTAACTCCATTTTTATCAGTCTCATGTGCGAATGCAAATCAGCGCTGATTAATCAAGTCACAGAAAAACGCACCCATCTCGTAGCACAGACAGACCTGGGCAGCTCCCTCCCGCCCTCCACAGGGTGCCTGACACAGCTCACTGCAGTGCCTCAGCTGCCCCTGTGTGCTCAGCACTGCTGCAGTGGGGCAGCCGTGCTCAGAGCTGTGCCCATGCCCTGTGCCAGCCCCAGCCATAGGGCTCTGCCCGCCGGCAGCGGGCGGCTGGCAGCCAGGGGACTTTGGCAGGATTCAGTGGCGGCTGCAACACATTCATCATCTGCTAAACCAATCCGCCAGCTCCACACCACCATTTGTCATTAATTATGCTAATCAGCAAACCATTACTCTCTGATGACACCGCGGCACTTATTAGCTAGTTATGGCTTCTCAAAAGCACGGCTTATTGTGCATGCGAGTGCTGAGCATACATTAGCCTACAGGGAAGAAGTGTCCAATTACGAAAAGAAGAAATTTGCTATTATCTCCTCCTAACAAACCAATTTAGTAATTAGAAGAGTCTCTGAACTCAGAAGGATTCTTTAAGAAGAGCCGAGTGATGAAACCGGAGAATTTTGTTTGCAATAACTTGTGGAGTTGGAACTAAAGTGACAATATGGGAACAAGCAGTTTGTATTAAACGTAATTACAATTCCTGCACCGACTTGAAACGATCAAAACTGCGGGCTGTATGAATCACGGCCGTGCCTGGCTCAGTCCTTAAAAGCCCTCGTTATTTACTGCAGTACACACACAGACCCGTGGCACCTCCCAGCCCCACCGCCCACAGCAGCACAGCCCTGGGGCGACTGCAGCCCCGCAACGCGGCTGTGCCACCGGGCCCCAGTGCACGCTGTTTTGTCACTGCGAGAGGAATGCTCCCAGTTTTAGAAGCTTAATATGTGTTAAGAGCTCATTAATATCATCAGAGTAAATGGGCCTATTAAAACATCTTTAAGCAATATCTGAACATAAATCTCCCTAAACTATATTTAATGACTGTACTTAAGATACATTATATGCGAGTCTTAATGAGACATTAGATAGCATTTTGGAGATTAAAATTAGAGAATCCATATAAAGTCTGTCCACTTAATGTAGCCTTAAGCTATGCTGATGAAAAGCATTACTACCAAATTATTACTTCATTAGAACAAATATTTTCTAATCATTCCTGATTTATGCCATTACTTGCTTTCCTATATATTATTTGTACACATATAAAAGTATACGCAGACAATTTTCTTGTTCCGCAGGAGATGAGAGAAATCCTGGGATTTCTAATGGCTGAGTTAATTACTCGTCTTCCTTCTACAGAGTTAGAAATAAGCACTCTTTCCAAAAGTCCGTTTGCTGTATCCCCACTTTCCTAACTTAACAGCAGATTTTAATTCCGTTCACCACAAGGCTGCGTCTTCATCAGCGGCTGCTCTGTTTGCGAGGAGCAGCAGCAGGACAGGATGGCCCAGGCTGGGTCTGCACCTCAGCCCTCCGCCACGGCCTGCAGGGCACCAGGGGTGGTGCTGGGATGGCTCTGACACAGGGATGGCCCACCTCAGGGATTACGAAATGACGCCACTGAGATCCATCCCCGGATGATGGGGACACACCTCCCAGCGCTGCCTGCAGTCGGCCCTGAGAGATCCTCCAGCGTCAGGGAATCTGCAGCGACGAGACTGTTTTTATTTGTTCTGCCTGCGTCTTCTATCCAAAAGAGAGAACATCTCACTGTAACAATTCTGCATTTTTAACGGTGCAAATTAAGCATTCTTCATAAATAACAGCCTGGTTTTCTGCACTAGAACGCCTTTTTATTAGCAGCACAGTAGCGAACAATGAGCGATGTGTTCTATTATTCTTTGTCAAATCAGAAAATGCTACATTAGAATAACTCTGCTGGTCAATGTAATATAGTAGATTAAATTCAACTTCTGTGCGAAAACCACTGTAAAACAGCATGATAAGAAAGCTATAAAAAATTTAATTTTACTCCAAACTCCATCAGAAAAAAAAAAATGGTGTGAAAAGTAATTTTGCATAATCAGTACACGCCATCTGGAACAATTAACCGATTTCTATAGAACTATGAGGATCAGTCATATCTGCTTATTAAAGATCAGAAATTATACAAGTAATAAATCCTTGAAAAAACTAAGCGTACTCCCGCCTGTCAGCGCTATTTTAACTTCAAATACTGAAGAAAGCCTGATAAGGCTGAAAAGAAGAGATTAATATATGCAAATTACATCCAGCATTTAAAATCCCCAACAACTGTCTCCGGTTTTCTGTCCCTTATTGCCGCCTTTATGTTTTATTCATACACCAACTCACCTGTCACTTCGTAAGCTATAATATTATGGGGGTATTATTAAACAGCATAAAGCCATGCTTTAATTGGAAAGCTTCATTGCATTTTCCAATTATTTGGAGTAAATTAAAAGCAGATGCACATAGTTTAATAAGGAGTCTAATATCAGTTCCGGGAAATCAAAATTCATTGTCATTACTGTGCCGCGATAGTTTTGCAAACTGTACTCGATTTCAGAGGTTCTGAAAAGAAAATCTGTCGGTGCAATCTGTTAATTGTCATTCGGTTAATAACTGTTTAAATATCCAAACCACAGAGCAGCTTCCTATTTTAAAAAAATGGAACTACGGCACTCAGAAAAGCAAAACAAACACGGCGCAGCGCCTGGAGGTCGCACTGCACAGAAACCACTGTGAGCTGCGCTGCCATGGGGTACCTGCATCACCACGGGACCCCCAGCACCACCACTGCCATCCTGCATCACCACGGGACCCCCAGCACCACCACTGCCATCTTGCATCACCACGGGACCCCCAACACCACCACTGCCATCCTGCATCACCACGGGACCCCCAACACCACCACTGCCATTCTGCATCACCACGGGACCCCCAGCACCACCACTGCCATTCTGCATCACCACGGGACCCCCAGCACCACCACTGCCATCCTGCAGCTGCCAGACCCCCCCAGCATCCCTGGGAGCAGGCGCATGGCCCTGGTACGCAGCGGAGCCCAGGACAGAAGAGAACGAAGGCGCAGCGCTTCCCGCAGCGGTCGGTGATGGCACACGGGCATGGAAAAGAGCAGTGCTGCAGCCGACACCTCCTGCACCCGTACCACTATGCATAGATGGGATGGGGAAGATAAAGGATGCGGCTCTGGACCAGACCAGGTTAAGCAGAACACAGCATGCGGGCCGAGCCCAGCGCCTGTCCCACCACAACAGGCACAGCCGAGATGAGCCCACCACAAACACTCCTCTGAATCCCATTAAACACAGCATTAAGCACCACATCTCCCTGCCTGGAAGACGCAGCTGCAGCACTTTACATCAGCCTTCAGTTTCCCCGCACGGCTGGTTATTAATAGAGCCTTTTGTGTTTTGATGATTATCCAGCTCTCTAAGTCCAGAGACTGGGAATTGCAGGGCAGGAGAACGGGCTGACTTTAATCCCAGCCCAGCAAAGAGGTTTCAGTGCAGAATAAAGCTTGTGTCACAACTTGTCTGCTTTTGGACCGTTCTGATTAAAATTCAGTGCCACAAAAAATAAATTTAGTTCTGCTTTGATTCTTAAGAAGTGCAACGAATGCACTGGGAATCTGGATCGACAGCAAAATGTAGCACAGGGCCTCCCCTCTGCAGAGCAGAGCTGGGCGTACCAAAGTGCTCCAACATAGGAGGGGATTGCAGAGCCACCAGAAACTACACAGGAAGATGAAGATAAAAGCAATTCTTGTGCAGTGAACCAAAAAATACCATCTTTCTTTTTTTCAAAATTACCTGTTTTAATAAAGCAGACACACTGTGCCAAGCGAACCATTTAATTATCTACAAAAATGATGAAGGAAAACAATAGTTTGCAAAAATAAATGACTAACCTCTGATTAAAACGTCTGTCCTCATTACATCCAGATAAAAGATACAGTATCTTTTAAAAGAAAATGCACATTGAAGAGAAGTAAGTGGCAGTTGTAGCATAGATAACCTGATATTTTGCAACCAGAAAGAAGTTGACACATGGGCACAGAAATGTAGCAAAGCCTGTAACTTTTCTCCCACTTCTTGATGTAGATAGACCACTGTTCCTCACTCTTCCTCTATGTGCCGTGTGCCATGCGGTGCTCTGGGGCTGGGCTGTGGGCCGATCTGGAACAGGGCATCAGAACTGGGCCTGCTGTAAGAGATGCAGCTCAGAAAGGAGGGGATCATGCTGCATAAGAGCAACATGTAAAATAAATTCTGCAAAGAAATCTACCTATAAAAAAATGACAAGTCCTCTTTCTAACATCGGTATTATCCAACACAGGAAAGTAACTTCCTTCCCTCCAGGAATTCACTAGCTTTCATGTTTTTCCAGCTCATTATCAGCAGTTTCCATTCTCCGCTGCCTTCGGAGCTCTGCATTACACATCACAGCATGTTCCCAAACCCTCCATGTGTTGCAGGGGTTGGGGTCCCCAGTCCCAGCAGCTCCATGATGCAGCCCTGCCCGTTGCACAGCTCAGCACCTCCAGGAGCCACACATGAGGGGCTGCAGTAGTGACATGGCTAGAAGCCACAAAGCAGCAAGGGTCATTTGAAACACTGTACACTAACAGGCAGCAAAGCATACTCTGTGTCGTCTTTTTTCAGTGCAGCTTCCATATTTAAATGCTCAAAATAAATGAAATTTGGTCACATCCAAGGGGAGCAGATCACCTTGTTATCTCCAGGCAATGCCAGAGCAGAAACCTGCAGAGTCAGAGGGTGACATGATGGAAGTCAGGTTCCTGCCCAGAAGGTGACAGGTGGAGCAGCATTCAGACATTTGTGCACTTGTTTCAAATACAAGATTGGTCAAAGAGGCTCTAATTATTTTGTATACACATATTCTGATGGGGGCAGTTCATGCAATGCAATTTCTGTCTTGACAGTCTGAGAGCATCAGAATCCAGAAGGTACACACAGACTTCGTATACGAGGCAGTCAGAACAGGCAGCAGTACCCACAGACACCCTCCTGCAGCAGGACTCAGGAGCCAGCAGCAGAAAGCCTCACAGCAGAGCCGGGGCGCTGCCAGCAGGGCATGCATGGTGCCAGCAGGGGCCTCATCCCCCCATGAGCAAGGAACTGCAAAGCAGGAGGCACGGTGCCAGACAGAGCCCATGGCTGAGCAGGTGGAAACCTCATTCTGCAAGCTCAGCAACTAGTTGTCCAACAACATCCTGCCACGTGCTCCAAAAGGAATGCTAAGGCCTTGCTCCATCCCTAATTCTTTTCTCGAGATGGCAACTTGGTCACGTATGCCCAGCTTGCAGGTCAGAGCAACTCAAGTAAAACCAAACCTGGAGTGGTGCAGGAAGTTGGGAGCTGCAGTCACAGCCTGCCCCGCCAGCAGGCCTGCATCGCTGCCCCCAGCACAGCCCTGGCAGCTCAACATCCACCACCAGGCTTTGCTCGCTGGCACTCACACAGCACAGCACTTCCTGCAGGTGAGACTCACAATGCAGTGGCATCCTGCCCTGACACACACAGTGATTAACTTCAGAGAGCTGCACTGGCACTAAGGACCATCCAATTAGCAAGGCCTGCAAGAATATTCACACTGCCATCTCTTGGTTTCTGAAAGGGTTAAAGCTGATTATTAGCATATAATTTACAGGTCCTTTCTCCCAGGAAAGAAATAATGCACAGTAAATGCCACATTCATTTTAATAATACATGTTACAGTCTGTGCCCAACATCTGCACAAAGGTAAAGCAGACAGATTTTTTTGACGTGTCCCACTCTGCCATCCAAACACAGCCTTTTTGTTTCTTAAGTGACGGAAGGTTTAATCAAGAAAGCAGGCAATTCATCAATCGGAACAAGGCTGCTCGCACCGCCCTGACAGCGCACACATGGTTCTGTACAGAAGAAACCTGGCCACCTGTCAGCAGCACCTCTTACATCAGGATATACAAATACACCAAGCAATCAATCCTCTAGCTCTTCCCATTCATTTCTTTGTTTTCTTATTATATTTTTCTTTATGCTAGATGTTGCCCTCATTCTCTGCAGGGATAGATGGGAGACAAGGCAAGCTATGGCTGTTTATATACTATCATAAAAATTTATATACCCTTAAAGTGACTTATTTCCCTTCTATTTGAGTACCATTATTATAAATAATTTTTCACTTCATTCAGGAATTTTCCCTATGTGTTAACATCAGCAGCTGCCTGTGAGTGCTCCCTTCTCCCTTCATCCTTGTGGCTCCAATAAGGCAAAGCAGCAAGCAGCCTGAAATGAAGGCAGTATGTAGTCACAACAACATCTTAATTAAGCTGAAGGCCATGAAGAAAGTCTGTCCTGTGAAATACCAAGCAATGCCTGCTGATAGGACTGCCTAGAGCAGGATATTCTTCCAGTTGCTGCCCATTGGAACATGCATATTACACCTGTCAGCCCTCAGCGCTGCGCTCTTGCAGCACCACGATCCCAGCAGCATCAGGTCTATTGCAGCTCCTCCTGCAGCAGTTCTGCATTGCAGGCTTGGAGGTGTGGGTCTCGCCTCAGCATCCTGCCAAGGGCAGGTTCATCATCTGCGGTGCAGTCAGGACATCCCCTGGTAACCCAGTTGCCAAGACTGGAAATGACACCAGGATGGCCAAAAGCTGTAATTACTGCTTTCAGGACCATTATTTCCTTGACTCCAACTTTGCAATAGTAATCACATTACATGCACAGAGGAGCACAGGACGGTTCCAGTGGGGATATGGCAATTTCTACCAACACGTATGTTGAGACACAGGACAGGCTGCTCCCCTCACTCACCACAACAGGCCGAGTCCTCTCCAGTGTCACATGCCGGGACAATGCTGAGCCCACAGCACAGACCTTCAGCTCCTCTGCAGCTCTTTCTCTAGATATCCTATCCCCTTCTTAGCACAATTCAGACCAAGGCAACACCAGAACTAGGAGATAAAAGGCTGCCCATAAAGGCTTTTGTTTCCTTCAGCCAGAACCAGGAGCCTTCCATTTTGCCAGGAGCCAAGAGGGGGAGCCAGCAGCTCGGGTGCACATCAGCAAGGTCTGCTCCCCACCACTCCCCCCACCACCTCCCTGCACGCCAGGTAGCCCCCAAACCCTGGCCTGGCAGCACTCAGGGCAGCAGTGTGGAAGTGCTCATCAATTTCCTGTTGCCATGGCACTGCAGTGAGACACCAACACTGCAGCACGGATAAAAGGGACTGGCTGAGAACTGCTCCTACACAACAGGAAACTTCTGAATGGTTTCCACTACATGCCTTGGGGTTAATCTGCCTCGGTATGGTTTAAGTCCGCAGAGGGAATTGTCCCAGCACCTCATCACAGCTGCTGACAAGGCTGCAGCGGTCAGGAGGTGCAAACGAAGATCCCTGCCAACACAAAGGATGTTTCGCATGACAAAAGCGTTTCTTCAGAATTGTCCCCCAGCTGCAATAGCCATTACACCACGGTATGCACAACAACCTGTGTAACAGCACGCCCGGGGAGAAGTGCAGTGTGGGGGAACACACCCAGCCATACACTTTGAGTGAAATGTCTTTGCAAATCCAGAGCACTGTTGCCATGCCTAGTTTTGTAGGTCTTTTTTATGCTTTGCCTGTAACCATCCTGTAAGACATTCCGGATATTTGCAGAACGGGTTGTTTTTCCAGGCTGCTCATCTGCAAGCAGAGGCAGTCCCAGAGGCAGAGTCATGCCCAGCAACTCTCAAGCGGAAGTGCTGCCTCCACCAGTGCTTTTGATGCTGTATCAGAAGACAAAACACAGCTCTGCCATCCTCTGTGCAGGATGGCCTCGTGAGCATGAGAACAGAACGTGCTTACCCTTACATTTCTAAATCTATTAGGGCAGGAAAGTAACAAGAAAAACTAGTACTGACAAGAATTATGCCACTGTTACATTCTGCCTATTTAGGAACCTGAAGCTGCAGTTTCAGTCAGAGATTACCTCTTAAATAACCCTTTGATTATGGTACATGAATTAGTGCCATGTTCCCATGTAAGAAGTGTCACTCACTATTAATGGAAAGGACCTGTGAATGGAACATTTTTGCCACCATCTCTTCTATGATCACGCACAAGCAGTACTTACTGTACAGCCCACCAAATCCACTGCTGCTGCTTCTAGGTTTCCAAGCTTTCCTGAGAATCCACTCCAGCCAGGTGAATGGAGCTCGCTTTCATTAGATTTTGACAGTCAGGTCTAAAGCAAGTATTTTTCTCCCCTTGCAAAATGTTGTAACAAAGAGAAAACTGCTACTAAGTGTGTTTCTACTGTGGCTATAACAATATTTGTTCAGGTGTAACAGTCCTCAAAAATAATGAATTTTGAGGAAAAATCTCCTGCACTGCTGAGCTGAACTAGAGTAAAAGATTGCCCCATAAGAGGACAGGCAGGTGAAACGTACTCCTGTGCAACAGCTGCACGTAACACTCTTCTTTAGTCTGCAGAGCCCAAAGTCCTTTTGCTGCGCTTTGTGAATAGCTTCCAGAGTGCAGAGCTCTCAGCACTTGCAGGAGTGAGAGACTCTGAAGTGCAGCTCTGTAGAGTATCCCTGCCTTTTTGTGCTGGGCCCCAGCAGCATGCTGCAGTCCTTCTCAGCATTCTCATCTTCCAAGGAATCACGCACTTCAAGGCAGAACCTTTTCAGAAGAGCAGAGCTGTCAGGGACAGCTCAAAGGGGACCTTAGTTCCAAAACAAACCCACCATGTGGTCCTGAAGCACAGTAAAAAATTACCTACATCCACATACGCAGAGGTTTGGGCTTGAGCCTCAGCACGCTATTTAAACACACATCTTCCCTACAGACTACGTAAAAATAAAAACCAGCAAGAATATTCATAGGCAGTTCCACATCAGCATCTGGAAGCTATCACCAGCTCCAGCATTAGCATACCAGCCTGGATTAGCAAATGGAGAGTGTCACAGCTAGAGAGAGCACATAGTTCTTAAAAGTAAAGTAGAACAACCTGTATTCTAATTTCATTCTAGTTTCATCAAACTTCATCTCCACATCTGATTTCAAATTTGCCCTAACATCACTTGTTTTTAACAAGTATGCTGCACATAGCAAAGAACTGCATGAATGAAAACTCATCCTTGCAATGCAGGATGAGCCTCCCAGGACATGTGCTGAGATGTCTGACACAACTCACCAGTGAAGGTCATGAAAAAGCTGAGAAGCAAGGTTTGAGCCAGTGCTGCTTTCACCAGCGCTCTCACCTGGAGCCACCTTGGGCAGCTGCATCCCTCCCTGATGGCTGCCATCTCCTCAGTCTGTAATGCTCACTACTAACAACACTCCTGCCCAGGTGTTTTGTGGTCTCTCTGCATTCCTGGTGCTCAATGCTTAAATGGCACCTGCACAGATCTGGGGTGCATTTCACAGACACCACCCACCTGCCATTCATGCAAACAAGTCTGCTTTAACTTGGTTAACCTTCTGGTTACTGAGAAGCAGAGAAACCACAGCGTGCGCCAGCTTACCTGATATGGCATACAGGTTTGAGTGCTGGTGCTCCAAGTCCAGGCGGCTGCTGTGACTTTTGCCTCGAAAGCTAGCAGGAAGCGTCAGTGAGATATGCCTGAAGAAGAGAAAGGGAGACAAAATTACGGCAGAGCAGAAGATGCCCCCATTGGCCGACATGGCTCCCAAGGTGCCCCAGGTGGGCTGCCTTCTCCCTGTCCCTCTGCAGAGCGGCCAGATGCTACCCATCACCCTTACTGAAGGCAGCAGCGAGTGTGCCCTGAAACTCAAACCTGTATTTTTCTAATACTGATCTCAGGTCCACGTGAATTTTTATAAAACATTATCATTCATCTTCTGGATCACATTGCCACAGGCAATGACAATGCTCATAGCAGGGCTCAGTCTGGCACAAATGCAAAGGCAGTGGCCATCACCTCACCAGCAGAGCTGCCCACCTGCAGGGTGCCCAGCACTGCCCACTGCCAGGGAACCCCGCGCTCTGTGCCGCAGCTGCAGGAGCTCTGGATATTGTCCAGGAGGAATCAGACCCATGTTCTCAGTCAGCGGGTTTTATCTTTTGAGCAAATCATCTGGAAACTGTCTGCCTTACTAAGAAAGCAGATTTTGTGAAGAACCACATATTTTTAGATCTTTATGTGGCTGACGGTGAACAGCGTGGATTAAATAAGAAAAAGCAAAGATCAGTTTGAATTTGCTGTTCTTCCCAGAACTAATTCTAACAAAAAAGATGGTGTGAAAATATTTTCAAATTTGGCTAACAGTATTCTGTTAAAACAGAATCCGTACGGGGCTCTGCCAGCAGAGGCAGTTTGTCATGGACGTGCTATAAACCAGAAGAGTGCTGCCTGCGGGCACTGCAGGCTCCTCATTTGTTCGGGTTTTTTGTTCGTTTTGTTTTTCTTTTAATAGCAGTATCCAAAAACACTTTCTGAGGCATCAGAACAGCCAACAGAAAGATCTTCTGAAATTCTCTTGCTGGTACTGAGGATGGGTTTTGTCATAACTAAACAAAGCAGTAGGAAACACTCTGTACGTAAGCAAAGCAGATCTATTTGGAAAAGGTCAATTTCTGAGCAGAGTATTTTAGAAGTTCATCCCAGCACCTGCTGCAAGAGGCTCCACCCTTCTGCATGTGCAGCTCCTGCTGGCCAACCAGCTCCGAGCGCCGAGCCCAGCACTGCTGCCGGCCCAGAGCCACAACCATGTGAGCACCGTGTGGGTGCTCAGCTGCAGCGCTGCGCTCCGAGCCGAGGCAGCACTGCGGTGTTTCATCGCCTCTCCCTGGCTGTGCTTGTGGGGCCATGGCCGAGAGACAGAGGTAAGGACTGCTGCAATGAGATTCGTTTTCTCCCTCTCCTCTTCTGTAAAAGCATGACATTGTAGGGAAAAAACGGGAAACAAAATCTAATTTATTTTAAATTAATGCAAACTTTGGCCAAGATCGATATAACTTCTACTACCCAGTAAGTTGACTGCATAATGCATTTTCCTTATGCACTGTGAAAGCCAAATCATTTTGCATTGTAGAAGACAAAAAAAAAAAAAAAAGGAAAAGGAGAGGCTGCCATTGAAAAGCAAGAAAATCCCAATTACAGAGTCCCCAAGTTCCTAAACACATATTGTGAAAGTATGTGCAGCTCTGCGGCATATGGCAAATCAATTACTAGTTTAAATTTTAAAACAAAAACATGGTAAATGCGTTGCAGAAATAATCAAGAACAACGGTTTGGTTTAGATTACAGCGGCCACTAGAGTTTTGAATACAATTAATCATCATTCCAGGCAATGGGAAGCCATATTGACACTTATTCCTAATTTGAATATTTAATTAGGGTGAAGTTCTTCATCAAATTACCACAGAACTGGGAGGAAAGCCTGAAAGATTTAAACAATTACTGCTTTAACCCCTCACCAGCTGCTCACCTACGAGCACAAGAGCATCTCCCCAGTGCTGCAGAGCCGGATCGCGCTCACGCCACGCAGGGACAGAGCCCACGGCACCATGGCTGCCCCTGTGCACCGCAGGGCTCCACCCACCGTGCTCCTTTGTCGGAGCAAACCTTCCCCAGCTCTCCATCTCAGCACCAAGGGATGCTCCAAGGCGGTTTCTTGGAAGGCTGTGCCCAGAGCCCCTGGCAGGGCTGTGCGCTGCGGGGTGCCGGGATGCTCCTGGAGCCCCGGCTCCCTCCTGCCTCCCACACCGGCCCTTCACGTGCTGCGTGTGTCCATATAAGAAAACCCCTTTTAATGAGAAGCAATATAGTTATGAACTCTCTAGAGCCATAATTAGAGCAAACTAATTGAAGTTGTGTTTTGACACACTTTCCAAATTCACGGGTGCTGCATGACATATTCACAACACTGCTGCTGCACAGCCATGGTGACAGCAGAATCATTAGGCTAATAACGCTTATTTGCATTCTTATCATGCCAGCAGCACGCCGTTAAATACTGCTTCGCCAGTGCTCGCTCACTGAGAAAGTTTCCACTGAAAGATATTAACAGCAATTATGAGTACTTCAGTGGAATCTCTGATGTCAAGGAATGGCAACTCACGTGAACTACCCCAGTGCCAATTACTTTTCGTTTTGGACTACCAAAAAAGTGATTTCTGCCCTCCCCTTGCACAAAAGCAGGGGGAGCGGAGCTGCTGTCCCACAGCAGCAGGAGGAGGAGGAGAGGAGGGCAGGCAGTGCCTGTTGCAGGAATGCACAGTGCTCCTGCACAGGTTAAGAGAGGGATTAAAAATATGTGTCCTTCCCACTGTGTATAATTTCCAGATTATTTAGGAAGAAACAGCCACACCACCACAATTCAGGCCAGGTTAGATTTAACTGCTCTCTTACTTTTAGTTTTTCTTTTATTTTTTAAACCAATAGAAAGCAACTACATGCAGCAGCACCAGAAGCAGCACACGATGAGAGGCTCCTTGGATGCAAGCAGAGGAGGTCTGAGGTCTGCATACATCATGGCCCTTTTTTAATGTTTCTAGGGAGAAACACATAAAACAGGCCCAGGAATGGCCAACAGCTCCAAACCAGCGATCAGGGACTGTCTGCGCGGAGGTGATGAACGGCTTTTGAAGTTAGGGAGAAAGTACTCATAAAAAGTAACAAAAGAGCATAAAGGGAAATTCCAGATATCAAAGGATGCTCCATAATTCGTATAAAAATATCGACAACACGTAGCAAAAGAACAGTGGTAGGCGTTTGGTCTCCAACCGGACGAGATGAAGCAGAGGCATCAGGCAGCAGCTCGGAAGCTGCCCCGCATCACCTGCACAGAGCACACGCTGCAGCCCCAGACCCGGATCTGCACTGCGTGCTGATGCCCATCTCTCAGGCAAGGCCTTCTGGGCGAACCTGAGAACGGCGCTGCAGGGACTGCAAAGCCCCACAGGAATAGCCCAAATTAAAAAGCTCATCTTCCCTAACGGATGGATTATGCAAAGATCAAGAAAAATCGAGGACAGAAAGATTAAGTACATACAAAGCTGAAGACAAAAACACACCTACAAGAGATTAGTGTCGGGCTGTACTTCTCAAGACACACAATCCCATTTGAATGCCCTGCCTGTGGGTAGAGGAAAAGCCCACCTCTACGCAACGCACTGTGGGTGCTTCACTGCAGGGTCGGAGGCCATCTGCACCACTGCTCACTTGACCAGAATGGATTTTCCAAACTGTGCCTCACAAAAAGCACCACAACAGACACCTATGGCTCTGGCAGTGTCCAGAACCCCATCTACAGCATTTCTTCACAGCCCTTAACTTTTACTGTGCTCAGGCCCTGCACTGCCAGAACACCTACCTCATACCCCAAAGAACTGCAGTGAAAAACAAAACTGTGCGGCAGGAACCACCTCGGGTAATGGACTCCATTCCAGACAATCTATTCTAATCGTGTAAACCAAATATTTAAATACTTTCTAAAACCTTGCTGACCCTTTGCCTCAAACAAGCACCATATGGGCTTTGCAAGCATTTCATCTCATTCCAAACTACTAAAATATCCTGTTTCCCAAAAATCAATGAGAACTGGTGGAGCCAGATTAAAATTTTATAAAAGCCCGAGCGCGTGAGAGAATGAAAAAGGGAGCGAGCGATTCTTTCCACTTTCACATTCAAGCACTTCATTTTCTCAGCAGTGAGGAGGAGGCCCGTCCTGCCCTGCCCAAGGCAGCGCTGCACACTGCATGCCCGCACCCTGGGACTGCAGGGCTCGGCGCCCCGTGCCCTGCCACAGCCACAGCCACAGCCACAGGGCTGCATGGAGCCGCACCGGAGCGCGACCTGCAGACCAGCAGCCAGGATGTACGGCTCGACAGAATGAAGCTGCTGCAGCTCCTCTGCACGGAGATTAACTTAGATCAGAGAATATAAGCAACCAGGATGGAACAGCTGCCAAACAATAGAAAAAGACCAACAAGTTTAATTTATGCTGCTTGAAAGTCTGATCTGTAGCCCATTAAACTGTTACGGCAGAGGACGGCACCAAGCTCTCAGCCCTCCAGCTGCAGCTCATGCAGCGGCGCTCCGGGCAGAGCAGCACAGCCTTCTGCAGCCCTCACCGTGCTCCCCAGGGCCATGAGCTCTTTGGTAATGAAGCAGTAGGGTAGAATTGCAAAGCAGCAGAAATTCTCCAAAAAGATACATTATGTGCAGCACAGGTTTTCCGGGCTAGGGCTTGAAATTCCACCAAATTAATCAGAGCGGAGCCCGGGACCGCGCCAAGCCAATCCCACGCTGCCCCGCACCACCAGCATGCAGCCCCGCATTGTGCCCAGCAAATACCCTTGTAAAGACTCGTCTGGGAAGAGCACATTGTCAGCACTTTGCCAGTAATAAATAATGACAGTCCAAACACTTTCCTAAAAGCAATAAACTCGAAAAATGTTTTTGAAAATGGTGAAAGTGATTGATTTAAAGAAGGAAATATCTGAACACAACCACATGCACTTCGGGGTGAAAGCACAGATTACAAATCAACAGTGGCAGAGATCATATTAAATAGGAAACAACATACAAGTTTTAGGGGAAAAAAATGCTCACTTCCCCCATTGGGGTTATTTAACAACTGAGAACACAGCTTCTT